CTTCTTTACTATGTCTCAAATCATTCTAAGTTCCTTAAGATGCTTCTAAAATAGCATGTGACAATGGGGGAGGTCATACAAAGGACATTTTTGGAGGCTCCTTAGGTGACAAGCTGGTAAAAACCTAAATAATCGAACAATATAACACTCGGTAAGCTATTTTGTTTATTTTGGTTGAATTGAAATCATTTTTGCCGATTAATATAGAGTTATCCCATACTTATGGAATGACACATACTAAATGGTATCAAAGCTGGTTAGCCATCTCGGTTTCGATCAGAGAGGCGTCTTGAGACCTGTCGTGGAGCGCAACGAGGGTGTTACATTCTTTGAGATGGGGTGAATTGTAACATTCCGAGTTGTGATATATGGAAAGGCTTAAGAGGATTGATTTGACTTCCTATGTCACCAAATTGACTTACCTTTTCCGTCACACATCTGTTTAGAACTTCAGGATTAAGAGTGCTTGGGCTGTAGTAGTAAAAGTATGGGTGACCTATCGGGAAGTGATTCACGATATCGTGCGAGTGAGGCCAAAACACAGGGAAATATCGGATGGTGATTGCAGGGTCACTAAACAAGATTTTCGGGCCTTCGAAAAATTAACGGACAGACCGTTGGAATGGGATGGTGTCCATGAGCCGAGAGAGCGGGTGTGGATAGTCCATTAGCCGTGGGCGGTCAAGGCATTACAAGCACATCCTCTCAAACAACGCAACATCCTCTCTGCGCTCTACGACAGGTCTCAAGACGCTTCTCGGGTCAAAATCGAGATGGCTAGCCAGTTCTGATACCATTTATAACGCCCCATCCGCCCATGGCTAATGAACCACCCATGCCCGCTCTCTCAGCCTATGAGCCTTATCCTATCCGACGAGCGGTGTGTTAATTTTTCCAAAGGCTCGAAATCATTGACCATACAATCACCACCTGACATTTCCTCGTGTTGGTCTCACTCACAGGGTATCACGAATCACTTTCGATAGGTTACCCATTATTTCACTACTTCAGTTCAAGCACGTTTAACCATGGAGTTTTAAATGAATGTGTGACTGAAAAATAAGTCAACTTTAGTGACATATATAACAAATCAATCTTCTTAAACATTTTCATATATCATAACTCGAGATGTTACAATTACGTTATCTCATATCCATATGACCGACCACAAGGTAAAGTGTAGTTGGTGACTTTAAACAAGGATTGCTTAGCTTTCCCTAAATCTGTCTACCACTAAACCACCTTTTGCTTAAATTTTCTTCAACATTTTGTGTTTTCTGTAAAGTATCATATTTGTCTTAAAGTGTTACTCAAGGATCACAGTGAGGGGGCGTGCAAAACTATTATGCCTAAAGTTTGAGGTACAACATTCTACTTGCTAGTTTTGCTTCTTCATTATGTCATTCTTTCGAAATTTTATAAGAGAAGCGATGGGTTTTAAATTCTCGGTTAGAGTTTAAGCGTTTTTGTTTAGCCACACTAACCCATCAACCACGTATCCAAAACCAAAACCCAAATGATATTTCAACAACCAATGAAATATCAAAAGAAGGCCCATATACTAAAGTTTCCAAACAAAGCAATGAAATGACACTAGTGAAATAGTGGTTAAAAGGATATTAGTGAAATAAGAGAGGTGGTTCAAACAAAAATCGCAGGGTTGTCTGTCTACGTCTACGTGTATATAAACTAATCGTGTTTAGAGCATTAACAAATCAATCAACGTCGTTTACAGTTCAATTTTTTAGCATCAAAACAAAGATCCAAAACATCATGACGAAATTGACTTGCACATCTTGTCCTTTGCAGCCGACGTATAAACTTTGTTATATAATGCATATAATATAGTCATTAAATGTTTAATACGATTTTATAACTATGGTAGGAGCCAATGATAGATTTTATTATTTGACTCGGAAAAAAAATCTTCTCCAACTATTAGCTACAAACAAATGCTACCATGCGTCATCATTATTTGTTTTTATTATAAATTTCAGTCAATAATGCTAACCTCTTTTACCAAAATGATCTTTGGACTATTGTTACAAAGGAACTTGTAGATTAGCTTGAAATCTGATGACATATGAATGGATTAATTAATTGAAATTAAGTAAATTTATATATAGTCTATAACTGTTAGATTACAGTCACATATATCACAGGAGTTTATAGAGCTGAATGGAGTTTAGAGATTTTTTATTACAATGTATTTACCAAAGGAGTTTACATGTAGGAGGATTTAACTAATTTTATAAAAGAAAAAGAGAAGGGAACAAATAACACTAGAGCGTTGAAGAGAATTATTGGAACTATTTTTTTATAACTCTGTTCGTGGTTGGCTGATTGGCCACAAACTATTAGGTACTGTCGTAAATAAATAAATAAATAAATAAATATATCCTTCTTGGAAAAAAGTATATCATTCTTTTTAATAAAAAGTCTATTAGTTTTAATTGAAGTTAAAGATATCTAGAATGTATAAGAAAAAAAAAAGATGGAATGAAAGATCTTCATAAAATATATCGCAATTTGTTTATTTTATAAAGCGAAAATATATTTCAATAAAATATGATTTCATGTTTTTTTATTCTAAAACTAAGTTCGTAGTGGAGAGTCTGATCTAAACTAATCTTCAAATGAAGGTGAGTTCACGAATAAAACGAACTAGTCTTTGACCCGCGCGTCCGCGCATGATTTTATTCTTCGTAATTATATGTTTTTAAAACATTGTCATACACATAATTCATTGAGTTTTGATATTGGTTTGTATTGTTTAATGTCCATTTTTAAATTATGAAATTATGTTTTTTATTATGTTTTTATTTATTTTATTTGGAAGTAAACATTAAAGTGAAAAATATTAGAGGTTTAAGTAAACTTGTGGATTACAAAACTATACTAAAAACATTTGGATCTAAAGTCGTATACAAAATTCAATTTTTTATTGATATTTTTTTTCTAAAATATATTATTTAGATAGGAACATGAAAAAGCAAGGTACGACAGAACATTCAAAAATAAGTACAGATATCTGCAAATTTTATTTAGCAACCCTAGTTGAAGTTATTGAATTTGGCCATTATAGTTATCATACATTAATTGATAGTGAATAAATACAATAATAAGTTGTAGAAATAAAAAAATGAACTCACATTTCTTCTGTTAAATCTTCTTCTTCATTTTCTCTGTGTCGTGGAAGGTTGTCTTCCTTTTTCAGAGGACCTAAACTAATGACTCCACAAGAAAGGAAAAAAATAAAAGAGAAAAATACATTTTCAGGGAAAATGTATTCATCAAAAAATATATTTTTTTCTCCAGTTATTTCACAAAAATAAATATTTGTATGTTTCTTCTGAAGATTTTGTCTTATTAAGTTCTTTCAAGTAAAAAAAAAAAATCAAAGTCTCAAACTTTCATGTCAAGCTTAAATTTTTGCTTTCTGCATTTATGAGAATTAGGGTCTGTTAACGTTTTGTGAAGATGGAAGAGTTTGAGGTAGATGGAGAAAAGAAACTGATGGTTGATGCAGAGTATTTTGTGAAGGAGTTTAGATCATGTATTCATGTGGTGATAATCACTAAGAAAAGAAATGAGATTGAGAAGAAACTTAAATACGATGGTCAAATTTAATTAATTAGTGTTTACCTTAATGGTATAGGAAATTAATAGGTTAGCTGATGAGTAAAACTACTGTGTTTTGAAGTAATGGCATTAGATTGTAATTATTGAAAAAAATTAAGGGTTAATTTAGATTTGTATTTCAGTTTTAATAGATTAGATGTAGTAGGATTATGTTCAGAGATGAAATCTCGTCTGCCACGACTACCGTAGTTAAAGTACTTCATTAATAAAGTCTAGAATAATATACAACTTAACAATTACCTCAAGATAGGCCTGGGTATCCGGGTCCTCGGGTCGGGTCCTATCGGATCCGGTTCTTTTGAGTTTTGAAAATTTAAATCCATATAGATACCTATGATTTTTCAGGTCGGTTCCGGGTCCGATCTTGTCGGGTCAGGATCGATTCGGATCTATAATTTCAATACCTTTAAAATACCCATAAACCCAATAAATACTAATAAATTTTCGGATTGGGTTCGGGTAGGGTATTTTCGGATTGGTTCTGGTTCGGGTCTTCGGATCCGGATAAAATGTCCAGGCCTAACTCAAGATGTGAAAATTTAAAATTGACTTACAAATAATTATATTCATACTTACCCGCGATATTGTGACGATGCCTCAAGAGTCAAGGCTCCAAGAAATATGTATGTCATAGTGTTTTTACAACATGACTCAACTGCTTTGAAGGAGCGTCGATTTTTTTCTCGTGTATTACAAGCGTCGCCTGAAAATCAAAATAAATAAATCAAATTTGAAATATGATGATAAAAGATAAAAAAATATATATATATATATTGGTTATTATACACAAATTGGATTACACAACAAGACAAACAAAATGGCCTTTTAAAAATTAAGGAATTCTAATTCGTGGACCCATTTTAGTAGTTATATCAATAAATTTGTTGGATTGTTTTAGAAATGAGTTTTTGATTAATAATTATGGTAGGCTCTAGACGAATACAGCACTTAATCCCATGTAAACAGCCCAGATTTATGGGTGAATAACAAGGAATATAACAGTTTCCCAGCCCTTAAACAAAATCAGGGGAGTTTCAATTTTTTTGAACATTATTACTCAGTTAAAGTAGTTTTTATTAGTTAACCAATGGCAAAGGAGAAAGGTGTAACCGAAAGATTTCATGATATTTTAATTACTGTTAAACTTAAATATATATTTTAAACATAAAAAAATCTAAACTTATTATATAGAGAATATACTCCTATATAATCTGCATCTAAACCGCGGCTTAGCTTGATTTAAGAGTCTCTTTCTTGTGGGAATCTCTCTATTAACCCCACTGAATATATATTTTTCCAAGGGGCCGTCGAGTTTCTTATAACCAAACCACCAATTCAACCTTCCACCATTATTTCATCACCATCTCTCTCTTTGGTAATTAACCGTTTTTGCAGAATATGGAATCATTCTACTTCTGCAACGTTAGCATATGCTCCTGGATTCCCCATCCATCAACCACACTTTTTCCTTTCCCCAACTCCTAATCTTCTCTTCATCTGAGTTTTTTTTTTCTTTTTAATCAAGTAAAAACGTCCAATAGTAAATGGAGGAAGAACGGCGCGATGTTCTGTTCGGGAAATACGAGATGGGAAGGCTTTTGGGCAAAGGAACCTTCGCAAAAGTCTATTACGCCAAACACATCATCACCGGCGACAGCGTCGCCATCAAGATCATCAACAAAGACCACGTCACGAAACGTAACGGCATGATGGATCAGATCAAGCGCGAGATCTCCGTCATGAGACTCGTCCGCCACCCAAACATCGTCGAGCTCAAAGAAGTTATGGCGACGAAGACCAAGATCTTCTTCGTCATGGAGTACGTTAGAGGCGGCGAGCTTTTCGCCAAAGTAGTCAAAGGAAAACTCAAAGAAGACGCGGCGCGTAGATATTTCCAGCAGCTGATCTCAGCCGTCGATTACTGCCACAGCAGAGGCGTCTCTCACCGAGATCTGAAGCCTGAGAATCTCCTCGTCGACGAGAACGGAGATCTCAAGGTCTCCGACTTCGGACTCTCCGCTTTGCCCGAACAGCTTTTACAAGACGGGTTGCTACACACTCAGTGCGGGACGCCTGCTTACGTGGCGCCAGAGGTTTTACGTAAGAAGGGATACGATGGTGCTAAAGCTGATATATGGTCGTGCGGCGTCGTTTTGTACGTGCTTTTAGCTGGTTACCTCCCGTTTCGTGATGAGAATCTTATGAATATGTATCGAAAGATATTTAAAGCGGAGTTCGATTTCCCGCCTTGGTTTTCAACCGAGGCGAGGAGGTTGATCTCTAAGCTTCTTGTGGTCGATCCTGATCGTCGGATCTCGATCCCGGCGGTTATGCGTACCCCGTGGTTTCGAAAAACCTCCAAGGCTCCGATCGCGGTGACTAACTCACCGCGAAACGACCTGGAGGTGGAGGAGGAGGGAGTGGCTACTGTGTCTTCGCCCAAGTTCTTCAACGCGTTTGAGTTCATCTCGTCGATGTCGTCGGGGTTTGATCTCTCGAGCTTGTTCGAGAGCAAGAGGAAGGTGAGGTCTATGTTCACGTCGCGGTGGTCTGCGGCGGAGATAGTGGCGAAGATGGAAAGGGTCGGGAAGGAGATGGGGATGAAGGTGAAGAGGACGAAGGATTTCAAGGTGAAGATGGAGGGGAAGACGGAAGGGAGGAAGGGGAAGATAGCTGTGACGGCGGAGGTTTTCGAGGTTGCGCCGGAGGTAGCCGTGGTGGAGCTGTGTAAATCGGCGGGAGACACTCTGGAGTATAACAAGTTGTATGAAGAAGAAGTCAGGCCGGCGTTGAAGGACATCGTGTGGTCGTGGCACGGTGACAGTAATAATAATAATAATAATATTAGTACTAATGACAGTGGTAATGTTAATTATACTAGCGATGAAAACTCTGGTAGTGACTGTGAGAGAATGTAATGATAGTAATGTGAAGCTGTTGATTTTGTTGATTTTGTTTTGTTTAATCGCTTGTTATTAGTATAGACTCGGCAAGATTTTGTAAATCGTGGTGTATATAGAACCCTTTTTAACTCCTTAAACAACTTGAATTAGTCATCGACATTTACCAATGTATAAGTACATTTTATCACATAATGTTCGAATGTTTGTTGGACCCGGAAAAATGTGGTTTGCTTAAATTTTAGGAATGGTTTCTTAAAGCTAACAAAACTATTAATAAATTTGAGATCTGCAAAAGTTAGTAGAAAATTAACTGGACATACATAAGGCTAATAGAAAATCATATGCACATAACTGGAATGTTGGTGTGCTTGAGATTTTCATTTCTAATTTAATAAGCAAATCATTTTCCTATATGTTAAAAACATTATAAGTTATAACATGAGAAATGTTCTTCAAAACATCAATTAGGGGAGATTTCAAAGACAAGAAACATATATATCTACCGTATATGTCAAAAATCATCTGAAGTTGTATTAAACTATTCAAACATGTTAGAAATTAGGAAAAAAAATAGAAATTTAACTCTGAAGGTTTACAGGAGAGGTTTCAAGTCGGTGTATATGAAAATATCTAGTCGCACTAGTAATCTATGACATTTTGTCATTGTTAGCACATGATTTAACGTAAACAACAAGAACTTCGTGAGTCATTTTTTTCCTGTTTAGCGAATTGAGATATTATGTCACTCAGCATATGCATTTTCATTAATATTACAATTAATTTAATATGTCTTTTTTATATCAAAAATTAATTTAATATGTCTAGAAAATAGAATACGTTACTTTGACCAGGTCCAGGACATATTTAATAACATTTTGTAGTTCACCGCCAGTATAATTACAGATTTCTGTGGGCGAGTTTAGCTACAAATTAGCGACACATAACGATTTGACAAGTGAATATATGATAACCTTAGCTTGCGTGATAGAGAAAAAGCGGACACAAAACTTGCAGATAATTGGTGAGTTTTGAGAAGAACAGGCACGTGTTTGTGTCGTAGAGAGTCCAAAACAGCACACCTTCCCCTTGTATTACAAAGTCAAATTATAGAAAGAGTAATTTCAAAGAACAAAGTCACGACAAAAGCCATTTTAAATGAGGAAGATTATCCAGTTGATCAAAAAAAAAAATGAGGAAGATTAAGATACATTATAAAACTTCGACGCGTCCAATTGTTTAATTGCCATTGCATTAGTATTGTGTAATGCAAAACATTCTGGAAAGTGATACATGCGCAAATTACAAGCGTTAGATATAGGTAATAGGTCCGTAATAGATAATCAGAAATTTTGGTTGCAAAAAATTGCTTATACCTCAATCATCTTTCTTATTTTCATATAAAAGATAATATATAGTATTTAGAAATTAATATCTTGCAAATCAAGAAAGAATTTAAAAGAAAAAAAAACTGCAACCGGAATACCGGATGGATCATCAATTCTGAAAAACTATTTTTCATAACTGTACAAATAATAATAATAATATCACATATTGATGTCGTATCAAGATAATAGATGACTCAAAAAGTTACCGTATCGTGAAAAGATCGATGTCTCCAAAAAAGAAAAAAAGTCATATAACCCATGCATAAGTAGATAATGTTTGTAGATGCTATGAATCAATCATGCATTGTTTAGCCTCGGATGCATGGAATGAATACAAGTTGAGCTGAAATAGATGGAACATGCACCAACATTATCACTGGACCACCAAACTCTATCCCAGAATAAGGTTATTAAACTAAAGAAACACGGAATCAACTCCACATTAGCTATAATAACACAAACAAAGATATTACTTGTACCCTAGATATATCATATTACACACAAAAATGGCTTGGTCCACAACAATTTGGTTCCGCACTATCCTGAACCGGTGGGTGTGTGGTGTAAGACAAATGGACAGTGATGTATAACAGATTGAATAAGGATGAAGGCAAATATGTGGTACTAATTACCTAACCGCTTACCCGTCATCTGATGTTGGCCCCATTTCATGTTTCAATCTATCTTATATATGTGTCTCTGTGTCTTTTGTTCACTTCTAATTCCAACGACCTTCCTTCGGTCCTACTCCAACCAAAATGTAACTTCTACACAAAATGCTACGTCCAACATTTCTTATATACCGAAAACATCCCCAACTAGAGCATGTTTACGATCATGATTATGCATTCTTTTACCATCGTATTTAAAATTAGTCGAGGCAAA